AATAAAATAAAGGTCCATAAACTACTAAAAAATATTTTTTAAGAAAGGAAAATGCAGTCATAATAAAGAAAATAATTTGAGCTAGGGTTGTGGCTCAGTGGCAAAGTGCTTGCCTAGCATGCGTGAGGCACTAGGTTTGATTCTCAGCATCGCATACAAATAAATAAATAAAGGTCCATCAACAACTAAAAAAAAATTAAAAAAATATTATTACACACTTTGCAAAGATTTTTATGGTGTGCACACATTTTCTTATGGACTGAATAATATTTTATTGGGCAGTTTACTCAAAAATTACAATATTGTTGGATATTTAGGTTGTTTCTGATTTAAGACTATTAATAATATTATAAACATTATCCTGTAATAGACTAAAAATATATTATTACTATTTTGCTTTTCTCTAGCTACTCAGCAGGTTCAATATTTTCCCATTGCCCTGAAGTGTATCAATATCATTTTTCAGTTTCTCAGCAAAAGCCTCCTGTTTTTGTTATCAATTTTGTTTATATAATAATTATCTTAAACTTGATTGCACATTTATTAAAAACATTTTCCTTCAGCTGAGCATGGTAGTCCACATTTGTAATCCCAGCTATTCAAGAAGTGGAGGCAGGAGGATGGCAAATTTCAGACCAACCTGAGCAACTTGGCAAGACCCTGTCTCAAAATAAAAATGCTTGGGGATGTAGTTCAGTAATAAATTGCCCCTAAGTTCAATTCCCCATCCTACAAAAAAAAAAAAAAAAAAAAAAAAAAAAAAAGTCCTCCAGTTTGTTGCTTTTTTTTTATCCCCATCTCAGAGTTTTACGTTTTTGCATTTAATTTGACCATCATTCTATTTGTGATTTCTTGGATTTCTGTAATGCTTAGGATGATCTTCCCTTCTTCAAAGTTTTAATGAAAATAAAATTCTATTCTTTTTCTATTTTCCCTATTTAATTTTAAAGACTTATCTCCTTACCCATCCAGAATTATTTTGATGTATGGTAGGCTTTATGTGTATGTTCATGATCATTTTATTCACACACACACATAGTTGCATAACTGAAGAATTATGTAAAAAAATTCACTGTTGTGCTGGGTGCAGTGGTGCATGCCTGTAATTCCAGAGGCTTGGGAGGCTGAGACAGGAGGATTGTGAGTTCAAAGTCAGCCTCAGCAAAAACAAGGCGCTAGGCAACTCAATGAGACCCTGTCTCTAAAATACAAAATAGGGCTGGGGATGTGGCTCAGTGGCCGAGTGCCCCCGAGTTCAATTCCCCGCCCCAAAATAAAGAAAAATCCTGTCATCGTTGTGTTTCAAAGGTTTCAAAAAAAAGGGGGTGGGGTGGGGCTATAGCTCAGGGGCAGAGCACTTGCCTAGCACGTGTAAGGCTCTGGGTTTTATTCTTAGCACCACACAAAAATAAACAAATAAAATAAAGGCATTGTGTACAACTACACAAAAATTTAAAAAACAAATTCAAGAAAAGCCAGAATAAAAAGGACTGGGAATGTGGCTTAGTGGTTAAGTGCTTAGTGGGTTCAATCCCTGGTACTGGGGGGAAAAAAGTTTCAAGGAAGATGCACCTCTGTGTTTATTGCAGCTCTATTCATAAGAACCCAGATTTGGAATCAATCTAGTGTCCACCAATAGATGAATAGATAAAGGAAATGTGGTGTCTTTACACAATAAAATCATGTCAGCAACAACATGGACAAACATGGAGAACATTATATTAACGGAAATAAGTCGGGCACAGAAAGAGAAAAGATCTCAAATGTGAAATCTGAAAAATTTGAACTAATAATTGGGCAGAGAGTGGAGTATTAGAGAGATATTGGTCAAAGTATACAAAATTTCAGATATGAGGAATAAGTTCAAGAGATCTGTTGTATAACATGGTGATTATAAATAATAAAAATGTATTATATTCTTGAAAATTGCTGAGAATAAATTTTAAATGTTCTCACCATAACAGAATACAAATATGTGAGGTGTTGAATGAATTAGATTGATTTCACCATTCCACAATGCAAACATTTATAAAAATATTATGTTGTATACCATATATTACAAATTTTGTCCATTAAAATTAGTTAAAAATTTCAAGGACAAAAAGTCAAAGTCTTTCTTTCTTTTTTGGATGGTGCTGTGCAAAGAACCCAGGGCCTTGAGCTAAGCAAGAACTTTACCACTGATTTTACATCCCCAGTCAAATCCCCTTTTTAAAAAAAAAAAAAAAAAAAAATACACTGATGCTACTTTTTTTTTTTTTTTTTTTTTTTTGGTGCATGGGGATTTGAACCCAGGGCCTCATGAAAAAAATAAAATACTTGGGAATCAACCTAACAAAAGGGGTGAAAGACTTATACAATGAAAACTACAGAACCCTAAAGAGAGAAATAGAAGAAGATCTTAGAAGATGGAAAAATATACCCTGTTCGTGGATAGGCAGAACTAACATCATCAAAATGGCGATATTACCAAAAGTTCTCTATAGGTTTAATGCAATGCCAATCAAAATCCCAACGGCATTTCTTGTAGAAATAGAGAAAGCAATCATGAAATTCATATGGAAAAATAAAAGACCCAGAATAGCAAAAACAATGCTAAGCAGGAAGTGTGAATCAGGCGGTATAGCGATACCAGACTTCAAACTATACTACAGAGCAATAGTAACAAAAACAGCATGGTACTGGTACCAAAACAGGCGGGTGGACCAATGGTACAGAATAGAGGACACAGAAACCAATCCACAAAACTACAACTATCTTATATTTGATAAAGGGGCTAAAAGCATGCAATGGAGGAAGGACAGCATCTTCAACAAATGGTGCTTGGAAAACTGGAAATCCATATGCAACAAAATGAAACTGAATCCCTTTCTCTCGCCATGCACAAAAGTTAACTCAAAATCGATCAGGGAGCTTGATATCAAATCAGAGACTCTGCGTCTGATAGAAGAAAAAGTTGGCTCCGATCTACATATTGTGGGGTCGGGCTCCAAATTCCTCAATAGGACACCCATAGCACAAGAGTTAATAACTAGAATCAACAAATGGGACTTACTCAAACTAAAAAGTTTTTTCTCAGCAAAAGAAACAAAAAGAGAGGTAAATAGGGAGCCTACACCCTGGGAACAAATCTTTACTCCTCACACTTCAGATAGAGCCCTAATATCCAGAGTATACAAAGAACTCAAAAATTAGACAATAAGAAAACAAATAACCCAATCAACAAATGGGCCAAGGACCTGAACAGACACTTCTCAGAGGAGGACATACAATCAATCAACAAGTACATGAAAAAATGCTCACCATCTCTAGCAGTCAGAGAAATGCAAATCAAAACCACCCTAAGATACCATCTCACTCCAGTAAGATTGGCAGCCATTATGAAGTCAAACAACAACAAGTGCTGGCGAGGATGTGGGGAAAAGGGTACACTTGCTGGTGGGACTGCAAATTGGTGCAGCCAATTTGGAAAGCAGTATGGAGATTTCTTGGAAAGCTGGGAATGGAACCACCATTTGACCCAGCTATTCCCCTTCTCGGTCTATTCCCTAAAGACCTAAAAAGAGCATGCTACAGAGACACTGCTACATCGATGTTCATAGCAGCACAATTCACAATAGCAAGACTGTGTAACCAACCTAGATGCCCTTCAATAGACGAATGGATAAAAAAAAATGTGGCATTTATACACAATGGAGTATTACTCTGCATTAAAAAATGACAAAATCATAGAATTTACAGGGAAATGGATGGCATTAGAGCAGATTATGCTAAGTGAAGCTAGCCGATCCCTAAAAAACAAATGCCAAATGTCTTCTTTGATATAAGGAGAGTAACTAAGAACAGAGTAGGGACGAAGAGCATGAGAAGAAGATTAACATTAAACAGGGATGAGAGGTGGGAGGGAAAGGGAGAGAGAAGGGAAATTGCATGGAAATGGAAGGAGACCCTCAGGGTTATACAAAAGTACATACAAGAGGAAGTGAGGGGAAAGGGAAAAATAATACAAGGGGGAGAAATGAATGACAGTAGAGGGGGTAGAGAGAGAAGAGGGGAGGGGAGGGGAGGGGAGGGGGGATAGTAGAGGATAGGAAAGGCAGCAGAACACAACAGACACTAGTATGGCAATATGTAAATCAATGGATGTGTAACTGATGTGATTCTGCAATCTGTATATGGGGTAAAAATGGGAGTTCATAACCCACTTGAATCAAAGTGTGAAATATGATATATCAAGAACTATGATATATCAAGAACAACCAACAATAAAAATTAAAAAAAATATTTATTTTTAGTTGTAGTTGGACACAATACCTTTATTTCACTTATTTTATTTTTATGTGGTGCTGAGGATTGAACCCAGGGTCTCGCACATGCAAGGCGAACGCTCTACCACTGAGCCCCAGCCCCAGCCCCAGCCCCAAATCCCTTCTTAATAAAGGAGCAAAACCAGTGTTAATGTTAACTCACAGCGACTATTGGAGCAGTATTCAGTCTTCAGCTTGTCACCAGAGGAGATCTGAGGAGTTCCTGAGAGGGGGACCTCAACTCAGGATGAGTGGGGTTCTTGACATTGCAGAAATGAATTTAAGGATGTGTCAGAGGCATAGACAGTTTAATTTAGGAAAGCAGAGACACATTCAAGGAAGAATGGGGGCCATTTTGAGAGCAAGAAGCAGCAACCCCTTGGTCTGAGGTAATTATATTTATAGAGAGACAGTACCAAGGGGCTGAACTAGAGGTAGAATCAGGGCAGCTATGCATTTTATGTCAGTTTTCCCTTCGATTATATTGCTCTAACAATGTTTTACTTTTAGTGTCCAAGGACATGGACTGGGTTGCTCACAGTTGCTTGTTTTGCATTCCAAGGGTTCATGGTCAGATCTTACACTTAGTGGTTAGTGGGTGCTTCTCTTTTGAGACTCAGTGTATCTTTTTTCTCCATATCCCCAAATTCCTCTCTCAAACTCACTGGAATCTACCTTCCCCTTCTACTTTAGCATCGGGCCCTGTGGAAATTACCCTCCTGGCCATCATGACCTCTCTTGCCCTGGGTTCAATTGCCATCTTCCTGGAGGATGCTGTCTATCTGTACAAGAACACCCATTGCCCCATCAAGAGAAGGACTCTACTCTGGAGCAGCTCTGCACCCACGGTGAGGGCCCTTTAGCTGCCCTTTGGGAGGGACTGGAAAGGAGAAAGGGATCATTTTGAGAATTTCTTTAAATGAACACTTCCTGTCAGCAGAGAGTTGCCTGCCACTACCTGTGGGGAGGGGGATATAATCTGAGCTCCCCTGACTGGGAAAGCCAATAGACAATTCTTTTTTTTTTTGTTACTGGGGCTTTAATCAAGGTCACTTTATCATTAACTACATCCCCAGTCCTTTTTATTTTGTTTTTAGCTTTGAGTGTCTTGCTAAGTTGAGAGAGTATCTTGCTAAGTGTGTGTGTGTGTGTGTATGTGTATATATATATATATATATATTTTTTTTTTTTTTTCAAACGAGGGATTGAACTCAGGGGCACTCAACCACTGAGCCACATCCCCAGCCCTATTTTGTATTTTATTTAGAGACAGGGTCTCACTCAGTTGCTTAGCGCCTTGCTTTTGCTGAGGTTGGCTTTGAACTCTCGATCCTCCTGCTTCAGCCTCCCAAGCCACTGGGATTATAGGCGTGCGCCACTGTACCCAGTTATATTGGTCCTTATTTTTCCAGCTGAAACTTTGTTGATGGGATGGAACCAAGGGCCTTGTAAATGCTAGGCATACTCACTGCTGAGCATACCCTCAAGCCCCCCCAGCAGCAATTTTTAAGGACTGGCACCTCAAATGTATATATGTCTTGCTTCCTTGAGGCCTTGTCACAATAGGTTGGAGATATGTCCCTCCCTGCCCTAACCTGTTCTTGCTCCTCTGCAAACAGGTAGTGTCTGTGTTCTGTTGCTTTGGTCTCTGGATACCTCGTTCCCTCATGCTTGTGGAGATGGCCATAACCTCGTGAGTGTTCAGCCCCACCTCCACCTCTGGTTAGGCATTTCCATCTCCCCAGGACTTCAGAGTCCATTTCTTTAATGCCAGTTATGAATCCAGCCCTTCCCAATCTATGCTAATTCAAGGCTCAACTTTCTGGTCTATTTAGGGAGTGCCTTATTTTGGCAATTCCTCAGTCACCTCTTTTCTCCCCTGGTCCCCAGATTCCCACCTTCCCAGTCCTCTTGACTCTGTCCTCTCTCTCACTCCTCTTGGGTCACAAATCCAGAATGTCAGCCTCTATGGTCTTCCCCTCAGTAAGCACCAACTCTCCCCACAACCTTTCTCTCTTTAGCAGTAAGGGATGTCCCCTCTGCTGTCCCCACCATACCACTTGCAATCCCAATCTCCCCCGATCCCAGGTTTTATGCTGTGTGCTTTTACCTGCTCATGCTGGTCATGGTAGAAGGCTTTGGTGGTAAGGAGGCAGTATTGAGAGCTCTGAAGGACACCCCAATGAGGGTTCATACAGGCCCCTGCTGCTGTTGCTGCCCCTGCTGTCCTCCACTCTTGCTCACCAGGTAAGGCAGAAGGGAGAGGCATCCTGAAACAGGTGAGCATCCTCTTTCTACATTCCCTCAAGAGCTTCTTTTGGCTCTGTAGCTCTCCTTCAAGGTTCTTAAAGTTAGTCTTGTATAGGACAAAGCCAGTGATAAAGGGGTGGGCATCCCACATCCAGGACCCACAATGGGCATCCATTCCCCAGAAAAAGGAAGAAGGAAGGGTCCTAAACTTCAGCCCACTTCCCCACAAACTTTACCCATAGAGAACTGGACTTTGGGCCATTTACTTGCCCCCTTCTGCCCATTTTGATTACTAGTTTGAGGTAAACACTGCATTTTGATCATTCTTGCTCAAAAAGCAGAATTCTAGCCTACAAATAAATGGGAGGCAAGGAGAGTTCCCAGTGCTCTCAATCCTGGCTTCTTCCTGTATCCCCATCCATTTTAGTATCTGTGTCATCTATCTAGCTTCAGCCCCAGAGCCCAGTGAGGAAGTTGGCAGGTCTTGAGGTGCATAGTTTGTGGGTTCATCTTCCTAACCCTCTTCCCTTCTCAGAAAGAAGCTTCAGCTGCTAATATTGGGCCCTTTCCAATATGCCTTCTTCAAGATAACACTGAGCCTGGTGGGACTGTTCCTCATCCCTGATGGCATCTATGACCCAGCAGATGTAAGCCAGGAGTAAGGGGTAGCAAAGTCCAAGACTCATTTAGTACTCTTGAGCTCTAGAAATAGCTGGAGCCAGCATCCCCTGACACAGGGCCTCAGGGTCAGGATGGCTGTGGAAAAGTAGAGGCTCAGGGGATCTGAGAGGGAGAGATGAGACTGGAATAGGCCAAGGCTTTGGGCTTTTTAACAACTTTCCTGACATGGGAGGGGAGAAATAAAAGGAGAAAAGAGCTTGCCTCCCCCACTGACTACTTTCTGGTCTGCCAACAGATTTCTGAGAAGAGCACAGCTTTATGGATCAACACTTTACTTGGTGTGTCCACCTTGATGGCTCTCTGGGCCCTGGGCATCCTTTTCCGTCAAGCTAAGCTGCACCTGGGTGAACAGAACATGGGAGCCAAATTTGTTCTTTTCCAGGTAACTATGCCTTGGGGAGGGAAAAATATTTGAGGCTGGCTTTGAACTCTCGATCCTCCTGTCTACAGATGATTGGGGTTAGGAGGTAAGACTATAGGCTAAAAGCAGCACTGAGGATCTTTCTCTTAAACTGTGGGTTCCCTGTGGGATCCTCTTAAACTGTGGTCTTTCCCCTCCTTTTTTATTTTAATACCTTTATTTTATTTATTTTTATGTGGTGCTGAGGATCAAACCCAGTGCCTCACATATGCTAGGCAAGTGCTCTACCATTGAGCCATAACCCCAGCCCCTCCCCTCCTTATTTTATACCTTTCTGTGCTGTAGTAGTCTCTTAGGGTCACTATAACAAAACACCACAAACAGGTGGCTTAAAACAACAGAAATGTATTGTCTCAGGGTTCTGGAGGCCAGAAGTCCAAAATCAATGTGTCAGCAGAGCCACACTCCTCTGAAACCTGTCAGGGAGAACCTTGCACCTGTCCTCCTCTTCTCTGATGGTGGCCAGCAGCTGCATCACTCCAGTTTCTGCCCCCACCATCACATGATGCTCTCTCTTCATGTGTCTAGTGCCTCTTCTGTTTTTATGACACCAGTCCTATTAGATTAGGGGCCCACCCTATTCCTTATGACCTCCTCTTACCTAATCACCCTTTCATGTCACACTCTGGGGTACTAAGATCAGTACTTCAACATATCTTTTGGGCAGACACAATTCAACCTATAATACATGTATTATCGAACCCTTAAATTTTTTTTCTACCAATTACTTCCTAAAGTCTTATAATCTGTCAATGCCACTAACAGTAGCATTATTACAGCTATAACTATCAATTACTCCACACCATGTATATTACATGTAACTTTTCAGAGTAATCCCCAGAGCTCATTAACATTTCTGTTTTACAAAGCAGGGCACTGAGACCCATAGGTGTGATGAGGTTTGCTCAGGGGCAAATGAGGGATGGAGCTAGACTCCAGGTCTAACTCCCAAGCCCACATTCCTTCTTTTCATCACACTGCCTCTTCATTTTAAAACCTCTTCTGAAAATTCTCTGCAAGACACATTTGTTCACCTCTTCTGGTTTTTTTTTTTTACCCCCAAGTGTCCATCAGTTATTAAGATAAGGAAATAAGTTCTTGTTTCTTGTGAACAACTCTTATTAAAATATTGGATAGAAGGTGAGATTGTAACTTGCTAAAGATTAAAATTCCATAAATATTTCATCAAGTGTGAATCTCAACCCTCTTAGCTATACAGATCTAATGGTGGGCCAAAACCATAATGGAAGGACAAGTCCTAGCTTCAGCAACCTGTCTGGCAAGCCCCTTCCACCCATCCCCTCTCTTCTGTTTTGTAGATGCTTCTCATCATGACTGCCCTGCAGCCTGCCATTTTCTCCATATTGGCCAATGGTGGACAGATTGCTTGTTCACCTCCATTTTCCTCTAAAACCAGGTCTCAAGGTAAGCATATAAGGGCTCCTATCCCATTGTGATATGGATGAGATAGGAGAAGGTTAGGAAAGAGAAGATCTTGGACAAGAGGTTAGGCCAGCCTGACTTCTCAGAAAAGAAGTCTCCAATAAATCTGGGCAGAGGCTTTGACTAACCTCATTAATCACACAGAGAACTGCAGTTCCACAGCTTGAGGCCAGCCCTGATGGCTAACCCAGGAAGTCATGGGTTTAACTCCTAACTCCTGGGAGAGGAATGAGAGTGAGTTGAATGTAGGTCATACTGATTAACACATAAGTATGAGCATTAGATCGCAGAAGGTAGAGAGCCAAGTTTGATTCTAGTTCTACCATTAATCTACTTTGTTGCTTATGACAGTATCTCTACGTCCTGGTGTGGGGATAAATGGGAGAAACTTGCTTAACTCAGACACCAGACTGTAAGTGGGATATCTACCACCTTTAAAACTTAGCATAACCAATGTTATATTTCATCTCACACTGCAGTGATGAATTGCCACCTCCTTATACTGGAGACTTTCCTGATGACTGTGTTGACGCGAATGTACTACCGAAGAAAAGACCACAAGGTTGGGTATGAAACTTTCTCGTCTCCAGACCAGGACTTGAACCTCAAAGCCTGAGGAGAATGGCTTGGACAATGATGGGGAGAGATGCTGTATGCATTTGGAGAACATGAGATTTCTTCGCTGTCCCTCACCTTCACCAAATGGGAAAGAATCTCATTGTCAGCACAAGCTAATGGATTACATTTGACTATAGAGATGAAGGCAAATTATGCAGTAGAATGAAACTGTTTTGGATATTGCCCAGGGAAGGTATTTTAAGTTTTGTAATAAACAGGATACAATCTGAAACTCTGTAACTACTAGGCACACAGCCTGTGGATGCCACTAATTATTAACCCTGAAAATTGTATGCTGAAAGTTCACTCTGAATTTTTCCAAAGCAGAAGAGAGGAGGAAGAATATACAGTTGTTGTTTGATATAATAACAGGAGAAAACCTTGGCTGGGCAATATAACCCCACATCTCAAAGAAGCCAGGCTTCCAGTGAATGGTTGGAAGGTTTTCTTTCAGTTTTTTGTGCCAATTAGCAAAAGTAATCACCTGATAATATTGTCAAGAAGCTTGATTTTGAGGAGAGAGATTAGGACTCAAAAGCAAAAGAACTGAGAATACAAGTAAAACCCCCAAATACATAAAACATCACACACAAATATATCAGGTCAAAAACCCAGGAAATGGAACACTCATGTAAAACCACATTGCCTTTATTTGGCTATATGACAAAAGCCAAAATAACTGAACAAGTTAATAATAGACAAGAAGATGATATACTGAACCCCGACTGAGGAAAACCTCTCTGCAGACTCACACTGGTGATGGCGCGGATATTCGCCAAGACTGATAGTTCTTTCCAAGATTTTTTTTGAGGATTCTTAACACAAAACTTCCAACCAATCAATTCTCAGTGTTCAAAATTGTCAGCGCCTCCCAAAAGAGGGTAGAAGGCCCACTTCAAATGTAAAGGGACACAATCTGAGTCATCTTAATGTTAAACCTGGAGCTTTTCTTTCTACCCTAATCTGAATACTAACATAAAACTTTGGCAGATAGAAAAATCCCTTTTAAGAAAATTAACACTTAAAGAGTATAATCCCAAGAACATATTCTATTTATTTGGAAAAATAGAAGCTAGGGACTACTTTTTATCCCTTGACAATCTATGAGAGAAAACAGAACAGTTATTATGACTGTGAAAAATATAACCTTTAAAAATACTCATATTGGTAAGCTTAAAAAAAAATACCACTCATTTAAAAACACTGTTAAGGGAGGTTTTATTGTTTATTTGATTTTTTAAAATCTGGATTGGCTCAACTTTTTAAAAAATATTTTTATTAGTTATTGATGGACCTTTATTTATTTATTTGTTTATATGTGGTGCTGAGAATCTAACCCAGTGCCTTACACATGGTAGACAAGTGCTCTACCACTGAGCCACAACCCCAGCCCCACTGGTTCAAATTTTGGTGAGTATATGCAAGCAAAAAATCTGGAAGGTATGGCTTTTAGAGAATTAAAGAAAAGCAGCAAAAAATTTGGAACGATTTTAGGTAAGGGATGTGAAACAGGATTAAAAAGGCAATGAACTCCAGAAAGTAATCTACCCACAAGTGAAGTAACCCAGAAACAAAGTCCTGTGGGAACCACTGTAGAGGGTCATCCTAGGGAGTGCCTGAATAGCTGTGTGGCCACAAGTAAAGTAACTCAGATGCTGCCTAAATTATCAGCAATCAAAAAGAGTTTAAAAAGTTTCTCAATCTCCCTATTTTCTTTTTTTTTTACTACTTCTTCTTCTTCAGGATTTTCAATTCTTACATCCCCAACCTTCTTACTCAAGCCTCTGCAGAGTAAGGGTCTTTGGCTTTAGCTATCAGAAGCAGCTGCAGCAGTACAAATGTCCATTTATGTTCCTTTAGTTTTCACCTCTATTCTAAGCTTAGCACGTGAAAATAGCAAACTTTCTGTTCAAGACCCTCAATGTAACTGCTGAAATGGCTCCTCCTTCATCCCTTCACCATCAGCTAAAGGGCTTGTCTTCAGCCTCCTTTTATCTTGTAGACAGGCTTTTGAGGCCAATCATCTTTTGAGGCTGTCTCATCTTTGCCACATTTAGTTCATCAGGGCTCACTGCTTTCTTGTGTGGAATTTGGGGAAATAGCTCCACAGACTCAAGCATTCATATTTGAAGAACTACAGATCATAGGCATAACCTCATTTAACTGGAACAAATGCAGAACAGTACACCATTCCAACAGCATCCTTCTCCAGCACCTAGGATCACATTTACCCCAAAGTATCTAACATGCCACATCTTAAAAGTTTTTGTTTTCAGTCCAATTATTGGAATATGCTAGTGTCTAGAGACTAAGGTAGTAAAGGGGCAAAGGAGCCTTCTAATATATGCACAAGCTGGCTTAGCAGTGACACAGACATGTCAGCCCAGAGGCCCTATTCTATGCCAAATGCAGTCCACTGAGAGCAAGGATCACTCAAGCTTTGGGGTTCAGACAATATTCCTGAGAGAACTTCAGGAAGGAAAATCACATCATGGACATTTATCTCCCCTTCTATTCCTGTATACTTGCGGAACATGTGCACTGAGAGAACAAGTAGGTGGGTGTTAGCAGGGACTTCACAGTCCTTCACACTACCTTTCTATACCAGGGAGAATAAGGCAGAGCAAAAACGGTGGAATTCCCAGAGGGAAGACCAAAGCAGAAGTTAAAATATGACATCATATAAAGCTGCGAAATGTGAGAAAACATTAACTTCACTGTTCAAAGAAAGGATTCTAGGTCAAGGCTTGTGTGAATCAGATTTGATAATAAAAAATAGCACTTCATGAAAAGAGTTATAAATGTAGTTTCCATGGGCCATCAGGACAAGAGTTGGCTTCTCTTTGTCCCTCTCCTCTGCCATGTCCCACAGGTCTGGGTGATCTGAATTTATATGTCTAGGTTCCTACTGTGTAGGCAGGCAATGATCTTAGCCTCTGACCCTCAGGCAGAAGAGCAGTCTTGACCAGAAAGGGTTTAGAGAGGGGACTATGAGATGCTCACAGTCCTAGCAGAAGAGCAAGAAAGAGAAAATGTGGTTTTCTTTGTTGAAAACACTAAAACTCCACCCCCACAAGGGGTATTTTATGAGTGACAGGGGTGAGGTCTGGACATAAACAATTTTCCCCTTAATCCAGCTAGGATTACTGATGATTGATGGTCTGCTAGGTCAGGTAGCTGAGGAGAGAGATAGGATGCTAGGGGATTAAAAAAAAAAAAATTGATCATGTTTTACAGCAAGTGTTATATATCAGCATTCTCTATTTGAAATTCAAGTGCTGAATTTCCACTGAGCAACCAAGCAGGAAAGATGGGGCAATAACCACCAGGCCCAGGTGGGAAAGAAGAGAACCAACCACCCTCTTATAAAGCAAACCCATGCTGGCAGCTTTCTGGAGGAGTGGTGAAGAGAAGTCCCTGCCAGTTGCAGCCCTCAGAGAAAAAGAAACACTCCATGGAGTATTGGTTCTAGTTAAGAACATTCTTAAGAGGGGCAGAGATCAAGATTAAGCTGTTGCTTTAGAAAAGAAGGTGTTTCCTTTTGCCTCTATGTTCTGTGCAAATCTAAGTATTTGACATGGAGTAAACAACATGGATTTACAAATCAAGTTCAAACTGCAGACATTTACAAAGCATCCTTTGTAAAAAAAAAAAAAAAAAAAAAAGCTAACAGCATTGAAAATTGAAAAAGGAGTAGCAAGGCCAGAAATTTACTCCCAGCAGGAAATGAATTTAAACTGATATACAGAATTGAGTTTTGTCCCATTCCTCTCTCTAATCACAGTAACCCTCAAAGTTCCTGCCTTTAAAGGAAAGTTGCAGGAAAGAAACTGACAAGAACTCCCAAATTACTTGGCAACAGATTTTCTGAGAAGATGAACAGCAGAAAAACTGTAGTTGATACAACGTGGCTGGTTCCATCCCCATCAGTGTCTTCATGGACCCCATTGGGTCCAACAAGAAACTCCTCAGGGAGTAACAAAAGTTAGGCTCAGATCTCCTTCTTCCCTCAGCCATGCTGACATATGTGCCAGCAGTGCCTTTAGGGGATTTTTGTGACTAGCTCAATTTTTGCTCTTTTTTTGTAAGGAAACCAAAATTACAATATTCCTCCTAACCCCCAAACTGCCCATCAGCATGGCTCACTGCTTGAAGGATTTGGCAAGCCACTTTGCTTCAGAACAGGAGGCAGACACTACAGTGTATCAAGAAGAAAAGGCCTCTGGGTATTACACCACTACCTTCTTCTGCCCACTCCTCAGGGGCAAAAAATTAGTTCTACTTACTATATTTGAGAGACTAATTTTTAAAAAAATTAATAAAAATGACAATTTCCCTGTCAAGATCACATGAACATAAACAGTAAAACAGAGTCCTTGGGGAGAGTAGATGGATGCAAAACAGGCTTCTAAGATGTAGTCAACCTCCTCCTTGGTGTGGGTGATTGATGTCTCTTAGGAAATGGGCTATTTTGGTTCCCCCATTACCAGTTCCTCTTGCCCCAAATGTCTTTCCTTTGTAGCTGTCCTTAGGTTTAGTGTTGGGATCACAATGTGGAATTCAAGAGAGAGCTTCTGAAGGTGATGGGACAGAGGGGAGAGGAAAGGAGGAATGAAAAGTTAGTCTTCTTCATCCTCACTGATATCATAGGCTGCAGCCTTGTGCCTAGAGAGATTTGCTGGGGAGGAAGACGGGGATGTCTTGCCAGAGAAGGGCCATCTGAAGGAGGGGGAGGGGGACCGTTCACGAGTAGGGCTGCTGCTCGGACTCTGCTTTGGGCTGATGGCCTGTAGCATCCGACCTTTTCCCTCTTTCAGCATATGTTTCTGGGGAGACCAAAAGGAAGAGTTAGAAGATATTTATGAATCCTACTAAATAACCACTGGAAAATCTGAGACTTCGAATTATCATGAGTGCTCCCTGCATTTGTGGGGGTGGGTGGGTACTGAGGATTGAACCCTGGGCCTCATGCATGCTAAGTGTAAAGTGCTCTACCACTGAGCAACACCTAGCCCCTGCAATGTTAAACATGACTGAACAAACAAGAGGAGGGACATAGATACAATTCTAAGCAACTTCTTCCCTAAAGTGGCCTATGCTATTCTATTAATTTAAAAGTTTCCATGAGCTTTCCAACGTCACCAAATCCTTGCCTTCTATGTCAAAAGGTTCTTCAAAGGTTACTTAGTTTATAGTCCCATTCTAGAAAATCCCATTTCCTTCCCAAATACTCACATAGTCAGATCTTTCCTGATGTCTAACCTAGCATCACTTGCTGAATCTTTTGCTTGGTTTGAAAAGATTCTGCTGTTCCTCAGAGACAGAAGGCCCACTTCACCCAGGATCCCATAGCATTTTTTATAGTGAAGGCAGCTTTCTTTTTACTGTTCTTTATTCTTTCCTTTCCTTACACTTAAAACTATAATGTAGAAGAGTAAGCTGGGCAAGGAGACTTGCTTGTCTTGTCACCAGATTTCAAGATTGAAGGCTGATAAAATTATTTGGGAAAATGTGTAACTTCTTTCTGTAAAGATTTTGAAGAACTATTCGTGGGATAGTTGAAACCCAGATAAAGGGAAACAGATTAGATATGTTCTTAATGTTGAGGTCCCTTTCTGTTCAAGGAATCTTTCCACATTGAAATTCCCTGAATTTCCCCAAATCGTCCAGTGGGAAAGAACCATACCAGTGCTCCTTCTGGACCAAACATTTCCAGGAAACTTCCAATGAATTCTCGGGACTTCTCCTCCCATTTCTGGATAAGGTCAATGCTTTTTTCCTCCACCTTCTGAACAAATTCTTTTGACTTTTCCTCCACATCTTTCACTTTCTTCTTTACTTTGTCAACACGCTCCTGCAAGTGGTATTTCTTCTCCTAGGCAAAGAAATAACTATTTTGAGAAATAATACTCATCCTGACCTTCCCTACCAGAAGAAAAAAAAATAATGGCTCCTATATGCTTTTCAATCTTTAGAATTTACCCTATACTTCTTTAGCACAATAACAGAAAAGATATACTCCTAAGTTTCCAGGACTAAACAAAGAACTAAACTAAATATACATGCAAGGCCCAGTAACAAACAGGCATGTAGCCAAAAGAAGTCAGGTTTTTTTTTTTTTTTAAAAGACATAACCAAAACTTATACAGGCTGCAAAACGATCATTGCACAAAATTGCCAAGAATAAGCCAATTATAATAGATTGGAAGTGGAAGTACTAGATCTTTACTTAATGTATTATTTTTCCATCACTGGCTTATTCTGTGATTTTAGATGAGTTGTGTGTTTCATCTTTTAGTATTTAGAGGTCCATTTGCTCATTTGCAAAATGAAGCTGATACTCTTTGGTCCTACCAACTTTCCTAAAGACAAGGGAAAGTGGTATAAATCCTTTGGTAGAAGGGGAGGAATATTGAGTCACATAAAATTGTATCCTCCCAATTTATAGATCATAAAGAAGAAGGAGAAGTGAAGAGATGTAGCTCAGTGGTAGAGCATGTGCTTAGGTACACAGGCCGGGTTTAATAAGAAGAAAAACGAGAAGAAAGAGGAGAAGAAAGATAGTATGTTTAGGGTTGTTAATGGGTGTTTTGTTTGTTTTGTTTTGTGGTATTGGCAATGGAACCCAGAGCCTCACATATGCTAGGCAAGTGCTCTACCAATGAGCTACATCCATCGCCCCATAGGATTTTAACACTTTGAGTTGTGGGAAAATAAAGATTCTATAGCAGATTAATTAATAAGTAGCTAGGGTCCAGTTATGCAGATAAATTATGTTCAGTTGAAACCATTTCACCTCTTATAGCATAATTCACAGAGCTGGGAGCAGGTGAGGAAGCATGGTCAACTGATAATACAGAAAATATAGTTAGTAGCTTTCTTCTTTTTAAATCAACTTAACTGAGACATAATTTATATACAAAATACATGGTGTTTCTGAAGGGCAAAAAAGATAAACTTAAGCTTTCATAAGTTAAAATTTAAGAGTCAGGCATGGTAGCACATGCCTGTAATCCCAACAGTTTGGGAAGCTAAAGCAGGAGGATCTTGAGTTCAAATCCAGCCTCAGCAATAGTGAGGCACTAAGCAACCCAGTGAGACCCTGTCTCTAAATAAAATTCAAAATAGGGTTGGGGATGTGATACAGTGGTAGAGAGCCCCTGAAGTTCAATCCCTGGTACAAAAACAAAACAAAACTTGGGTCCATGTGGGAAAATTACATGCAGAATGTTGTATGTCACTATCTACACAGGGAGAAGATCTATAGTTTTCATTAGATTTTCAAAAGAACATCCAATCAAAAAATAAAAAGGTGAAGAGCAACTATTTTAAATGTATTAATATAAAGAGTGTACTATGTGTTACATATTTTTATTTAATTTGCTGAATGTCCTTACATCAGTATGTTGATATTGAGCCATTAAGGCAGAAGCTGCTTCTTTCTTAGTTTGTGAAAAGGTTAGCATGATGTCTTCTGTAAAATGGCATTCATTAGCTTTGGATTGTGACAATTACAGAAGACTGAAAAGCAAGTTCAGCTTAGATGAAGTCGGAGACAACATGTGTCCTATAGAGCCATGAGGTTGAAACTCACATTGATAAAGCTGACGTTGAGCTCCTTTGCTGTATAGCCCCTCTGTAGGTTCCGTCGAGCATATACATCATAGTCTCGGACAATTCGGGTGATGATGTCTGATGTGGAGATACCTTCTGTCCTCTGTGTTGGAGCAAACATGCCTAACTCAAGAACACATACAGACAAACACTATGAAGTTCCGGTATGCTCAGAAAGAGGACTAGATGGAAATTGGAAGCAACACTTCTGTCCTTTCCTCAAAAAAGCAGACTCCATTATTACTAAGTGAAATCTAGAGATACTGGCATATAGATGAGGGACTGAATTAAGAGCCAAGCATAAGAAAAGGAGGAGTTACATGGTCCTAAAATTAAGAAAATTATGGGACTACTTGAACTTGAGATTAAAATTCAGAAATTTAGAGCGAGAATTGATGAATGTCAGTGCTATGTTCACCTTTATCTTTTATCCAAAGTGTGACTTGAAAGAGGATGTTGAATTTCTTTTGTTTTTTGGTACCAGGGATTGAACCCAGGATCACTTAACCAATGAGCCATATCCCCAGCCCTTTTTTGTACTTCATTTAAAGACAGGGTCTCACTGAGTTGCTTAGGGCCTTGCTAAACTGCTGAGGCTGGCTTTGAACTCAAAATCCTCCCGCCTCATCCTCCCAAGCTGCTGGGATTATAGGCATGCACTACCACGCCTGGCTAGGATGTTGAATTTCTTAGTGTGCAAACTTTCCTCTGAAAAGTAGTGATGTGGCTGAATCTCTGAAGACTGAATCTGCTCAAGAACCCATAAAGTGAGGATGTACATCAGCTTACTCACCTGCTTCTTTAATGTGCTTATAAACATCATCACTCCCAGCAGAAGAATAAGGGATATCATCATGGGCTACAAAATCAATCTGAAAATAAGGAACCATCATTTAAAATCCAGAGTAGTTACTATTCAGAGATACCCTATAAATGTTCCTAGGCTTAGAAAAAGGACAATAAGCAGAGGCCAGGCCTCAGATGGGCTTTTTCTTTATTATCTTTTTTTTTTTTTGCTGATAAATTCTACAATCCATTCACAAACTGCTTAACCTAACTATTTATGGATTATAAATAAAAAAATTAGCCAGTTTCTTTTCTAGTTGCTTTCCATGTCCTACTAGAAGTGTCACCTCTCTCTGTACACCAATCACCATACTGTAGTCAGTGGGGAGGAGGATTTTTTGGTGAGCTAGTTAATGGGTAGAGTTTTAGAAAAAAGAAAATTTTCCTATCCTCCTGAGTCTACAAGGATTGTCAAATAAGGGTTTCTAATAGAGGTCACTTCTTTGTCAACTGGCTTCTCTCTCAGTTCATGAAAAATGAAGAAATATAAAAATAGCAACCAAGAGCCTTTTACTGGAATAAATATATTTGTACTACTGAGAAATGCAAAACCCAGAGCTATAAAAGAACTTTTAGGTCTCAGGATCTATCATTTTACTACTGTCAATACCCTTTGCAAGAGTGGAAAAAAATTAATGACAATGGGATCAATAATCCTTTTGAGACCCGTGCTAAACTTCACTTATTTATTCCTTCCTGAATAGGCCTGAATAATGTAATTACCATGCCGCTATACTCAGCTCCCAGAAGCCACTACCGTGTGAAGCATGTTCGTCAGGACTCTCAGCTAACATCTCAATTACCCATGAACAACTTGTAAGGAGTCCAGAGGCAGCAAAGTAAAGGATGGAGGGCAAAAAAACCCTCATGATTGAGATACACTAAAAAGGAGAAAATGGAAGTTGGAAGTTTCCCTAACCCCATACTTCCACCTGGGCTTGCTCATCATCTTTGTTGCCACTGGCTGTTAGGTTTTCATACAGGAAAACGAGAGAACTATAAAAGGTCTGTCTTAATCCCATCTATTTCTAATAAATACCTCTTGCCCCAGACCTACCCAAGTATTGCTTTAGGAGCACTTTAGATACTTTTGTTCTTTCCTGTTTCACTGAATAATTCACCTGCTACATTATGCATACTCCTGTAGAGAACTGACAATATATTTTCTGGTTCCTCCAGGTTGAGGGCCTCCAATCTAGCCTGATAAATCCTTCTAATCTTTTACAGCCATCCTTTTGTAGGAAACCTGTTGCTTTAATACAGGATAATGTAAAAGGAGGTATGGGATTTTATAACTCATTACATGAGATAAAATGAGAAACATCCCTGATTTTTGATCCCACACAATTTCTAGCTCAAAATCAAAGACCTGAAACTAAATTTAAGTGAACCTGAGAGAAGTCTATGTAAATCTGTCTTATTTCCTGGAATGTGAACCTCTTGAGAGCTTAGCTGGGGCTATAGATATTTTGAAGAGTTTGGTATGCTATAAGGGCAGATACACCCACAGTGGTGGTAGATGAGGACATCACATAACTGAAGAGTGCAATTACAGCCCTACTAATGGTGTAACCTTGAGCAGGTTTATTTGGTTTCTCAGGACCTTGTTTCTTTCTTTTTGTATTTTTATTATTTTTTAGTTACAGGTGTACACAACAGCTTTATTTTTTATTTTATGTGGTGCTGAGGATTGAACCCAATGCCTCACGCATGCTAGGCAAATGATCTACCTCCGAGCCACAACCCCAACCCAGGACCTTGTTTCTTATATATAAAGGGGAAATAATAACTACCCTACAAGACTGTTGTGGGGAACAAAATGGAATATAATGATTATAAAAGTGCTTATAAATCATCAAGCCCCATATAAATGTCAGGGATGAATACTTTTGTTAGTAATATTACTAACAATGTAAAACTTACACAGAAGGTGTAAGTAAAATAGGGCTAGTGGAAAACTAGCGCAAGTGCCTTGAAAGTGGAGGGCATTCTGGAACAAGGAATGGAAATGTGCCCCATTTCTTACCCGGTGTTCTGCCAGGAACTCAGGTGTCAGGGTCCAAGGGGCATTCCTTACTACCTCATCCACATAGCGACAGTGCTGCACTGCATCATAGCGCTCATTTTCATTCATCACGGTGAAGCCTTTAAAGTTGTGTGTTAGCTCATCACTGCAGACTGGGTCACAGCATCATAAAGTTGTAAGCCAAGGTTCCCTTTGCTTAACCCTCCTAAGCCACCAACCTCTCCCACCTTTTCCCACTTCCTAGCACTGCAACCATCTGGGTAGCAGTGCTTTTCCTAATATCATGCTCATGCTTTGGAGAAGAGGGTACAACCTGTGTATTTCTGCATCAATCAAGTTCTTAAATATGTCTCCCTGTTTTATTTGTATAAGACCAGACTGGCCCACCATCGTACTTCATTGATTAAAAGAAATGATAAGCTGAAATCTAGAGCAAATGATGTTCTTAAGTAGGCAACTGAGGTCAGTATTGCTCCCATGATTACAGAAACTCAACTAAAAACAGTGAGATAAATACTGGACATCTCAAGTTGATGAGAGTCTCACAGACTTCATGTTTTAGAGAGGCTGTATTATATTCTTTATTTAAAAACTGAAAAAAGGTCTAATGTGCATAAAAGAAAGCAAATAAGATTACTATGATTTTCTGAACAGCATCTAAAGTGATCATCAAGTGTTTTCTTACCTCCCACAATGAGGTATGTATTAGGGAAAAGGTTCTTTGCTTGCATCAGAGCCCGGGCATGACCAGAGTGAAATAAGTCGAATATTCCATCTGCATAGACTCTCACAGGCCGCTCACCTGAATCCAAATAAAAGAATCATCACAAAAATACATTTACTCAATATCTCCTATTTGATGAATGAAATTGGTATTCTGTGACCATTCCTCTCTGCATAACCCTCTCTTTTAAGTGTTCTCTGAGTATTCACCCTGATTTGGCGGGTAAATTGGAGGTGTGAGAAATAACATCAATGAATCCTTTCTTAAACCAACTCAGATGCTCCTCTTGCCCACTCCAAGTGTTTCCCCAGTCTTCTGGCATCTCAATTCCCTAAGACTTAACCTTAAGTCTTTGATAAACCCAGGATGTTATACTAGTCATGTGGTTCAGAAGGTGTTGAATTAGTCTGAGGATAACTAGCAAGAGTTAACCATTCTTTACCAAGTAGCTGTTGATCAGGTAAACCTTACAATCCTTGATTTGTAACCGTTGTTTCCAGCATGTTAGTAAGAGCAACGCCGTGTCATTCTCAAATTCCCCCCCCATTACAAATTAGATGAGGGCAGTACTACTGGAAAAATTAACCAGATGTCCTTCTTTAGGCAAAAAAAAAACCTGGGTTTCCATTTATTGTCTTTTTTTGAATCAGCTACTTGATTATTTAACATAAAACAGAACAGACAGAAAAAGATTTTAGAAGAGTAACAAACGGTCAAATTAAGACTACCAAACTTCATAGTCTAAATTGCAACAGTTTGTTCCACCTAAAAGTCATTTTCTAAAGGCCTTCTATTGTTTATAACTAATACTCTGCAAAGAGTAACATTATTCTAGGGTAAAAAGAACACAAGGGCCGGGCACAGTGGCACCTGCCTATAATCCCAGAGTCTTGGGAGGCTGAGGCAGGAGTGTCAGGTGGATGCCGGTGACTTAGGAAACAAAGCACCAAGCAGCCAGTGCCCACAAAAGAACCACCAATCAGGCACTGATGGAACCTCCTCTCCTGGCCAATCCTGGATCTTAGCCAGCTCCGCTGACCAACCCCAGTAGGACAAGGGACTCTAAAAGCCCCTTTTCCTGTACCAAGCCCTCCTCTTCTGCCCTAAGCCCATAAAAATTCCAGTCCTGTCCAGCCCCAAGCATGCTTCTTCTCAGACCCTCTTCTTACCTGCTCTGTCAGTATAAGATAGTTCCTCCTGGAAGCAAAATCTCAAAAGCCTCAATCACAGGCCTTTTTAAATCTGCCTCCTTTTGGCCGCTGTGGTTGCCTGACCTTACAAGGAGGATCATGAGTTCAAAGCCAGCCTCAGCAAAAGCAAGGCACTAAGCAACTCAGTGAGATCCTGTCTCTAAATAAAATACAAAATAAGGCTGGAATGTGGCTCAGTGGTCAAGTACCCCTGAGTTCAATCCCTGGTACCAAAAAAAAAAAAAAAAAAGAACACAAGGGTGGAAAGATTTAGACTTCTAAAGAAGTCTATCTCTGTTCTGTCTCTTAAACAAAACCTGCTTTCTATGCTTACATTGGCATTTCTCAGATGTTTAATCCCCCAACAATGGGGGAACAAGGACAGGACCCAATCCTGATTTCCAAGACTGGTATTAGGTGGGGGTGGGATCATCACCGAGGTAAGCTCCTCTGTACCTCACATCTGAAGAGAGCCTTTTCTGTCTCTTTCTTTCTTTTTGGAGGACGATACCGGGCACCTGTCAGCTAGTTAAATGCAAGCTGTGGTTTTGGTGACTCCTAATTACTTGTCCTGCGGGTCAGGCATATTGGGTTCTTCCAAAGCCATTCTCGCTGTCCTATCCAGACATGGGGAGTGTCTGGCATCAGTAGACAGCCATCCTAAATATGTTTTGCCTTTGGTTATGCACAGATGAACAAAGGGGTGAAACAACTATGAGATTCTGGACAAGGCTACTCCCCAGTGAATCTCAAAGTTTCTCCTCCAGCCTCCTCTTCTTACAGCCCAAGGGGTATCCTACTGTGACCGGTCAATCGTGGTACTGAGCAAACGCCCCAGTAACACATGTATTCTCCTGGGCTCCTTACTCTAGATCACTCCCCTCCCCTTACTGATCAGACCCAGCCATTGAGAAAAGAGCCATTTTACGTGGAGTGGTTTGTAAGGTATAGCCTGGGTTCCCTTTGTTCGCATATTAAGCCTTTATAAACCTGTAGGGATTCTCCCCATTGTTATTTCTGTGCTCCTGTGTGCCTCCCTAGCTTCTTTGGCTGCAAAAAGGGAGATTCAAATCCACACCCTTTTCAATTTACCCTTGGCTTAGATTCCTCAGGGGAAAAGATGTTAAGCATCTAACAACCATTAGATGTCCTCCTTAACCTCTGAATATTCTTCTAGCCCACAAAGCAGAGGAACATACCCCACTGTAGGTCAGGGTTTTTTGTTGTTTTTTTTTTTTAATTTTTTCCTCGTGGGTCATCACATTTGGAAGTTTAACAGTGGCAGGAGGGAATCAGTCATGGCCGCTAAGTCTGAACCCCCCAAGGTCTTTGACATACACCAAGCAGAGACCCTTGTTTATTCTTGCTGGTGAGACAGCAATAAATCCAGCAGAACCAGGTAGTGAGAGTGGGTTTTTCTGACCTTCAGAAGCTCATTTAGAGAGATGTCCCTAATAAAACGGACGGACAGTTTTCTGTGGCATTGGCACATGAGTTCTGTTTTATGTCACTCAGATGGGAGCTTCATTCTCAACAGTTATGCCAGGTTCACCACTAGCCTGCACACTAAAACACTGGGATAAGTTTGATCCACAAACGCTCAAGAAAAAGTGCCTCATTTTCTTCTGCTGTCAGGCCTGGGAGATGATCTAATCATAGCTAGAAAAAGGAGATGTCGTATAATTTTCTGCATCCAAACCTGGCCTGATTCCCAACTGGGGGAATGTCCAAAGAAACATAAACTCTAGCACCACAACTTAAGGGATTGATTTTACAAAACAGAAAAAAATTGGTTAAAGTGCCCTCCCTATATATTAGGTTTTGCCTTTTAAGTTTTTTGGCTTTCTGTCAGATGTCTCTCTCTCCAAGAATTGCATCTGAAATGTAAGCTACAGAGGCAATTATCCAAAACCAGTTTAGAGACCAAAAAGATGTCACTTTTAAATTCAAGTCACTGTGGGACCTAAATGGCTATCTTATCTGTTCTTGCACTCTACCGTCCTGTACCAAGTTCCTCCCTAAACACTACAGCACAGGGATGAAAATGGAATGATCTCATATATAAGTCTTCTTTACCTTTAGGATATATAATTTTTTAAGCACTCTACCACTGAGCTACAACCCCAGCCCTGGCCTTCCCTAAAGTTATATCATAATGTAAAAGTTTAATAGGCTCTATTTTAATTTCTAACAGGTTAAATCTAATAGAGGCTTTAATAAACATCTGTAGCATTGTCTCCTATCTGAAAATCTACCTGCAAAAAGCTACAAGATCTTTGTTTCCTGCCTGTGTTATGTATGTGTGCACACCTCTGTATTGTATTGTTGTGTCTACATATGTGATTGTGTCTATATACATGTACATGGTATCAAAATTGACATATAGACATGTGAGTACTCATAAATTAAAATTTACATGAGAAATGGATCTAAATATCTTTTAGTTCATAGGATTTAAAAAAAGGAAGTTCAATTTAAATTAGGTAAACAGAGTAAAGATGTCTTTAAAATGACTAACTTACAAGTTTTTCTAGATGATTAAGACAATTAACAGAGTGTTCGTTTCTATAAATATCTAGAATGTAATATACATTGCTTCTATGAATTTTCTTCAACAGGGAAGAGATGGCCATTACTGTTAACTACACTTGTCTGATATCTTGGTTTCTACAGTTAAAAATAAGTAAATTAGATTTAGCATAAATGGGATTAATCTTCATAAATGTATTTGAGAGATGAGATATCTGATCAATTTACAAAGTTAAAATGCTAAAACATCAATTGCTAAATATACCATCATCAAGTACTCTTAACTTCTTTAATTCCATAAAGTAATATTTAAATGTTAAATGTGTTTTCATAAATTGGCAAATGGGAAAAGGCTTAAGATTTCTTTGTTTTCACTAAAAACAAGATTACTAAGAGTTAAGATTCTATCAATTTGTAATTCTATCAGTTGTAATTTTATATACAAAGTACAAGAGATTTCAGTTGTGTTTCAATTAAAGTACTGTAAAAAAAGCAAACGTATTTCATCTTATTAAAATGGAGTCATTTATCTAAATTCAGAAATTTCATGAGGATTGTTTCAGAATGTAAATTTAATAAGGGGTCAACAACTAGGAGAGAGAGATAAGAAAGTTCTAGGTATAGAAATATATTTTAATATGGAAAGTAGAAGAAAAAAATAAATGTTTCTGAATGAGAAAGTCTTTGTATGGTAAAGTAAAAAGTTGTAGAATGTCTAAGTAAGTTGAACAAGGTTTGTGGAGGGTAAATCTCAAAGAATTTATGTATGACTAAGTTGGCTATAATTAGCACAATCAGTTAAAAGTTAATTTGAGTTTTTTCCTAAGGTCAAATATTAATGTACTGTTATAAACAGTGTTTATGTGTTAAAGTAACAAGGATTTGTTAAAACATTAATCTGTTCTAATCCAACAAAATAATTTCTTTTGTCTGTTAAGTTTTATTATTTAGTGAAACTATCTTAAAGGAATTGGGATTTGTAAAACTCTGGTTAAACAACTTTAATTTTAGAATATTACACTACAGATTCTAAATTGATCTTTAAAAGTTAAACTTGGTTAATGTAAGAACATCAGTATAATTGTGACACTGTTACTAGTCTCTTTGTATACTAATGTAGTCATATCTTCCAAGTATACAAATCTTTAAAATATAAGGCTTAGAAGAGCATTTTACAAAGCTGGTGCTCTTCAAACTAAAGTTTGAAGTAAAGGTTTGGGATTATAAAAAAACGATGTTTCTTGGTTCATAATATTATACAAACTAAATATTTTTTTACTCTTGTTAATTTCATTTTGTATTTTCCTTGTAAACTTTATAACTACTGTCTGTGCTTTGCAGACGTACAACTTCTAATATAACAGCCCAAGTTAATTTGAGATAACAGGCCATCACCCATAGAACAGACAGGATATAAGGCTAACTGACCCCAATTTAATGGAAGGGATAAATAACTGTAAAGTTATAGAATTTAGTTAAAACCCAGTACTCCTACTTTAAGACTGGTAAAACTGGTTTGCTAGATGTTTAAAACCAAAACTTGGAGACTAAAGTTAAGGAAGTAAAAGGACCAAAAAAGAAAATAGCCAATATTTGGCTCTTGCCTTCTGAGGTCAGCTTGAACCCAGGGAATGAAGGACTTCTCCATGGGGCTTTGCAACTCTGGGCCACATGACTTCCCGATGGATGGGGTCAAGGGGACCCCACAGAAGAGAAGGCCACTAGTGCAAATGCTGCAAAAAGGAGGGTCACTGGAGAAGGAAACATCCCTGATGTTTCCAAGGGAAACCACTACATGGTCAGCAAGACCTTGAACTATCTTGGCAGATGGTACTAGAGAAGGTAAGAGGCTTCTCCCAAGTTCCCAAGAGTAAACCCCAAAGGAAACTCAGATGACTCTTAACAATATATAGGAACAACGTCAATTTGACCAGCTTGGTCTTAAATACCTGACAAGAGAGTTATAACCAAAGTACAGTCATACCTGGACATTTAAAAGGAAAGACAATAGTTCTACAACTAAAAAAAAAAAAAAGAACTATTATCTTTCCTTTTTTTTTTAGTTGTAGTTGGACACAATATCTTTATGTTATTTATCTTTATGTGGTGTTGAGGATCAAACCCAGGGCCTCACATGTGCTAGGCAAGTGCTCTTTGGCTGAGCCACAACCCCAGTTCCAAGACAATAGTTCTTTTAAAGTAACTTAAGATGTACACTTGTGTCAGACCCATCAAAAGTAAGTAAAGCTGGAGGCTATAAAAGAGAAATTCTTAGGAGTGCTTGATAATTATCTAAAGAGACTATCAGAGTCAGAAGCTTTTTTTAGTCAATTTAAAACCTACCAATCTTCCCAGGCAGACTTAATCTGTGTTTGCTAGTATGATTATCTAGCCCTAAGTGACAGAAATAAAGGGATTTCTACTGAACACAAAGGTTATACCAACAGAAAGGTATTTTTCAAAAGATGACATTAGATATCTTAATTATATCTTGTGGTGGCATCTGTGATATTATAAAAACTAAGTTGCCGGGTACGTAGCCCACACCTATAATCCCAGCAGCTCCGGAGTCTGAGGCAGGAGGATCACCAGTTCAAAGCCAGTCTCAGCAAAAGTGAGGCGCTAAGCAACTCAGTGGGACTCTATCTCTAAATAAAATACAAAATGTGGCTGGGGATGTGGCTCAGTGGTCCAGTGCCCCCAAGTTCAATATTCAGTTCCAAAAAAAAGAAAGAAAGAAAGACTAAGTGGTGTGATTTACATTCCTAAATTTACATTCCCAAATAGAGCCTATGTCCTCACCAGTCTTGTCATGAGAACAACTTCTTAGGCTCTTGCACCTGCTGGTGGAAAAACTACTGGTTTCTATCATCATCATCATCATCATATTCATTGCTTTTGTATCAATCTTATTCCAGTACTCATGTCTTCTTGTTTCTCACATACAGCATCCACTTCCCAGATAATTTTACGACCTGTTCTTTTCAAGCCAGACTTTCACCATGGACCCTTCAACCAACCCGAAACATATCTAAAAGGGAAACCTGAACTGTTTGCCCCATGTCACCCCCTCTCAGCCTGAAGCAGCCAGAGCCATCAGTGCCCAATTTCTCTTACAGCGGTAAGAGTTCCCTTAATCAGAGGGGAAAATGAGACAAGGGTAAAGGACAGGTAGTCAATGTAGATAATAAATGATTTGGTTGGAAAGATGGAGGCTAATTATCAAAGAAAAGGAAATGGGATGCTAACACCTCTGTATAACACTTCCCCACTCAACGTTTTGGGTTGGGTGGAGGGAAGGATCGCACTTTCCAACACAAACAACTGCCCCTTGGGGTTACTCTTTCCAGCCTTTGGGCAGGTATGCAGGAAAGAAAGGGGTCTATAACAAAGCTATATACGCCCACTCCCATGGACATCAGCTCTGGGTCTCTTTCTGCAGAGAAGTCTATCTCTGTTCTGTCTCTTAAATAAAACTTGCTTTCACTGCTTGTTCCGGCATTTCTTGGGTGTTTAATCTTCAACACTGAGGGAACAAGGACTTGATCCTGATTTCCAAGACTGGTATCATTATCACATCTGAATATGAACCCTGAACTCTCTGTTGGCATTTTGAAATTTGACCTGCCACTATTACACCATGTTACATACAGCCTGTGGTTATCCTCGTTTTTATTTACCCTGTCCCCATTTGCCTGCCTATTACTCAAGTAATGGATGCCAAACTCAAACATCACTTCTTGAATCAGAAGGGATATGGTCAACATGAGCTATATCTAAATACTTTTGCAAAAGAAAAGTATTCTCTGGAACTAGCCTCTTTTTTTATGGACCCCCCTGCAAAACCATAATCCATACAGCCAATCCATACAGGAATCTTGGACTGGTACTGTTCATAATTGTTTCTATTTGAATTTCACTACTCCTCAGTTATAACAGAGAACAAAGAAGCAAAACTAAAAAGTAATCACAAATATTATATATATGTAAGGGGACAAATAGATGATGGTGGTGGGAACATAAGGTTAAGAGAATAATCCTATAAAATGAATTCACTGTACTGACTCTCCACATGCTTTCTTTGCCAAAAAGCAATCTGCCTGCAGCCCTGCCTGGCCTGGGGGGGACAGGAAATGTCACATTTTTCAACAAACTGAGGCAGGGGGTGGAAAGCCTGGCAGTCAGTATAGGTAATGAATGATGGGGGATGAGAAGATGAGAGCTGGTTATCAAAGAAAAGACAATAGGCTGCTAACACCTAGCCTCTGGAACATACTTCCCAGCACAATGAGTTACTAGGGATTACCCTCTGTGCTGCTCCTTTCTGTCCTTTAGAGAAGAAAAAGAGAAGATGGGGAAATTCTGGGATCTATAAAAAAATAAGATACACCCACTCCCACAGGCACCCAGATCTGGACCTCTGTCTACTTCTGTCTCTTTCTTAAATAAAATTTGCTTTCTATGCTTGCCTTGGTGTTTGTCAGGTGTTTAATCTTCAATACCAGGGGACAAGGGCCCAATCCTGATCTCCAAGACTGGAATCGTATGTACACAGGAAATATTTGTAGCATATAATGGCCTCTTATTCCCTGGTCTATGTCCAGCTCTGCATTTACAGAGTAGAGAGGGCATTTACCATAGTTATTAGAAGAAATAGAAAAGAATTAGAAAAAAGAAATAATTTACAGAAAAGTAAGGATAGCTGCCTAATCGACTCTATTCATAAAAAGTGCTCATGGAAGTTTCTATTTATGAAGATCCCTAAAACCAATTGCCTCAAATACGAAGAATATCCAGACCACATATTAATAATTTATGTGGTTGGGCTGGGGCTCTAGTCCCATGGCAGAGCACTTGCCTAGAATGTGTGAGGCATTGGGTTCAATCCTTAGCACAACATAAAAACAAATAAAACAAAGGCATGCTGTCCATCTTCAACTACCAAAAAAAAATTATTAAAACAAAATTTATGTGGCTAAAAATTATTAAACACTGATATAAATTAAGCCTACAAATAAAGAGTATGAGCTTTGAAAATAATAAAGCAAGTCTTTCCAGGAGTGGTGGTGCACACCTGTAATCCCAGTGACTCAGAAGGCAGAGACAGGAGGATTGCAAGTTTGAAACTAGCCTCAGTAATTTAGCAAGGTGCTCAGAAACTTAGTGGGACCCTGTCTTAAAACAAAAAATTTTAAAAAGGACTGAGGATATGGTTCAGTGGTAAAGCCCCCTGGATTCAAGCCCCAGTACCAAAAAGGGGGTGGGGGGGACTGGAAAATGATAATACCACTAAGAATAAAATTAAGTGATAAATATCTCCCAACTTGGGAGATATTTATCACTTAATTTTATTTATTATTAGACAAGATCATGGGGCTGTGGGTGTAGCTCAGTAGGCAGAGCATTTGCCTAGCATGTGCAAAGCTGTGGATTCGAGTCTCAGGACCACAAATTATCCCAATTCAAACTAATAACTTTTTGTTCATGCTTCATTATATTTCACAGCTGTGACAACAGGCCAAGAAACAAGTGCATAAAAATAAGGAAAATAATAAGATTTTATAGCATGGAGTTACCCTCCCAAATTGAACACTGAGGCAAATGGGAGGAATCCTTCCACTAGTAGCCTTTAGAAGTAAACTTAGGGAAGTATATAGAAAGTAGGTATGTATTTGATAAATACAACAGAATGTTAAAAACTACAGTAAAACAACAAAATAATTAGTATCTACTTACAAGGAGTTCCTTTGCTGGCTTCTTCCATAGTTACCCTGACATAGGGCTTACTAAAGTCGACTTCAATTTCATCAGAAAAAGGAGCTGGCTGCCGTAAGCCCTTAAGAGGAGAATTAAGGAAAAAAAAAAAGTTAAAATTCAATGGTACACATTGAAATACTAAAAAATTACAGCTTTAAAGAACAATTAGGCCAGGTATGGTGGCACATGTCTATTCCAGTGACTCAAGAGGCCCTAACAGCAGGAAGATCACAAGTTCCAAGCTAGCCTTGGTAACTTAACAAGACCCTGTCTCAAAATATAAAAGATACAAAGGGCTGGGTTGTAGCTCAGTGGTAAAGTGCTCTGGATTCAATGCCTAGTACTGAAAAAAAAATCAGTTATTCAATGTAATGTAACAAAAATTCCTCTAAAACTTTATAACATAAAGAAGAAGCAGGGTGCGTTATTTCAAAGTGACAAATGAAAACTGCAACCTTTTATGAAGTGGGTACATCATGGCATGAAAAATAAATGCCTTGCTGGTGATTTCAGGGTAAAACTGAGTGATCCAATTGGGAACCTAAGCACAACCCCAACTATCTGGGTCTAAAATGATGGCTCTTGCTCCTTTGCAGCAAGATAGAACAGGCAACCCTGTACCGTGTGACAAAACTACCAAGGTCCTGAGTGATTTTCATACTACTTCAGCTAGACACCTGGAAAGGCAAACAGCTCCTGGGTGTTATATTTAGTATAATTATCACTGTATAATGCTTTGTACTATAATTATGTTTTAATGTTCATAACAGCTCTTAAGGCAAGTAATGCTACAGTAGAATTCTTAATTTAAAGATGAGGGAAACAGGGCTGGGGTTGTGGCTCAGTGACAGAGCACTTTGCCTAGCATGTGTGAGGTACTGGGTTCGATTCCCAGCACCATGTAAAAAACAAATAAATAAATAAATAAAATAAAGGAATTGTGTCCTTCTATAACTAAAAAAATATTTAAAATAAATAAATAAAGATGAGGGAAACAAAGTTCAGAGAAGTTTGTATGAACTGTATGCAGTTACCCAGAGGCAAAATTAAATTAAGAATGCAAGTATAGCTGGGCAGGGTGGCACACATCTATAATCCCAGTGGCTTGGGAGGCTAAAGTAGGAAGATTGCAGGTTTGAAGCCAGGGTCTCAGCAACTTAGAGAAGCTATAAGCAACCTATTGAGACCCTATCTCAAAATAAAAAATAAAAAAGGCTGGGGATGTAGCTCAGTGGTTAGGCACCCCTGGGTTCAATCCCTAATACCAAGTAAGTATGCTCATTTCTCTGTATGTGACTTTGTTTGAGAATTTTTGTTAAATTTATTCCTAAGATTTTATTCCATTTGATACTACAGTGATGGAATTATTTATTTTATTTTTAGACTGTTTCTTGCTAGTATATAGAAATATAGTTGATTTGTATGTATTTGTGTAATTGTATCAATTAGTCTATTTCTATGTCCTGTGATGCTGCTAACCTCAATTATTAGTTTTAGTAGTCGTTGTTGTTTATAGATTCCTTAGGATTTTCTAATCTGAGAACAGGTTGTCTATAAATAAAGATAGTTTTACTTACTCCTTTCTAATCTGGATATGTTTTCTTTCTTTCTTTTTTCTTTTTATGGTGCTGGGGATCAAACCCAGGACCTCATGCATGCTAGACAAATACTGTACTGAGTCACATCTCCAGCCCTATTTTCTTCTTTTTATTACCCTCATTGCAGTTAGAGTAAGTACAACATTGAGTAGAAATGGAAAGGGCAAATATTCTTGCCTTGTTCCTAGTATCAGGGGGAAAGCATGCAAATTTCAATATTAAATATGATGCTAATTACAGGTTTTTTATAAATGTTCTTCATTAGGATGAGAAATCTCCCTTCTTTGTACAGTTTCTTGGAGAGTTTTTATAATGAACAAGTGCTGGATTTTGTTAATTATCTTTTCTCCACCTATTGTAGTAATCATAGTTTTCCTTTATTTATTAATTATGGTATATTATATGAATTGACTTCAGAATATTAAACCAATCTTGCATTTCTAAGCTAAATCCCTGTTAGTCATGCAGAATAAACTTTCTATATGTTCCTGGATTCAATTTGCTAATAATATGATTAAGAATTTTTGCATCTAAGTTTGTGAGAAATTTTTAACTTTAGTTTTCTTATGATGTTTTTCTCTGGCTTTGATATCTGGTCTCACACAATGAGCTGGAAATTATTCTGTTTTCTTCTATGTTCTGAAAGTATCTGTGTAGGATTGGTATTATTTCTTCCTTAAATGCCTGATAGAATTCACAAATGAAGCCATCTGGGCCTGAACTTGTCTTCGTGGGAAGGTGTGTTTTGTTTTCCTTTTGTAGTGCTGGGGCCTGAATCTGGAGTCTCCAGCTCTACCAAGGAGCTATGCCCCCTAGTCCATGGTGGAAAATTTTTAATGACCAATTCAATGTTCTTACTTGATATAGCTCTGTTAAAATTTTCTATTTCATCTTAGCTCATTTTGGTAATTTGTCTCTTTCTAGGAATTTATCTATTTCATCTAAATTATAAAATATTTTAGCATATAGTTGTTCATAACGTTCCCTTACAATCCTTTTAATTCTATAGAACTGTAGTGATGTATACTTAGAATTTTAAATTCTAAACAGATCATATCATGATTGAACTAAATTCAAAGGCTGGAAAGATATTAGAGAAAACAGTTTATCTTCTAGAAAAAAGTTAATACACAAAAAATGATCAATAGTAACTTGTTTCTGAAATTCACAAAATAATACACATTTTATGATTCCTTCTATAAGAAGGTTAAAATAGGGAAAACTAATCTTTGGTGGTAAACAAATAAATTTGGCAGAAAATGGTGCTGACAAGTAGGGGGTGTAAAGAAGTCTTTGGGGAGGATATAAATTAGTGGTTACTTGGGCTGAGATGGCTAGGAGAAATGGTGCATAATGCTAATGGCCATGGGGGTTTTCTTTGGAGTGATAAAGATATTCTAAAATAGATTATGATGATGTTTCCAAAATTTCATTGATATAAAACCACCTAATTATATACACTTTAAGTGTATACATGAATTATAATGGTATATGAATTATAACTCAATATAGCATATATGTGGAAAAATAGAAAAATTATGCTTATAAACAACAGTGCAGGTGGATAAAAGATCAGTCCTACTGTGTCTCTAAAAGTTAATATTAATGGTGTGTTTGAACAGATTGTTTAATATTTGGGGAATTTTTGTGGGCTAGTTGTTATACAGGTAACTTGAAAACAAGTCACAAAGTCTGTAATCCCAGGGGCTCGGGAGGCTGAAGCAGAAGGATCACCAAGTTCAAAGCCAGCCTCTGCAACTTAGTGAGGCCCTGAACAACTCAACAAGACATTATCTCAAAATAAATAAGAAAAAGGGCTGGGGATGTGGCTCAGTGGTAAAGCACCCCCTGGGTTCGATCTCAGGGACCAAAAAATAAAATAAAGAAAGAAAAAACACATGTTGTCACTTAAGAAAGAGGTAAGTTTATAAAAACTGAATATTTGAACTAAGGAAAATAAGAATGTGGTACCATCATCAGGAATAAAGTTTTTTTTTTAAAAAAAGGAGTTGATTTCTAAATAACAAATTCATTTTGAGATTGAGATAATACTTAATCAAAGAAATATCAAAAAGACAGGTGTTGACACTAATAAAGATAAGTAGTAAAGATGAAAAAATAAGATAAAATCTTTAAGAGAGGGCAGAGGATTAGCAATGATGGTGGAATGTGATGGACATCATTATCCAAAGTACATGTATGAAGACACTATTTGGTGTAAACATATTTTATATACAACCAGAGATATGAAAAATTGTGCTTTATATGTGTAATATGAATTGTAATGCATTCCGCTGCCATTTATCTTTAAAAAATCAATTTAAAAAGGTAGCTAAATAGCTATAATCTAAAGCAGTGTACTACTGAATAATCTTTGCCCTAAAATTTTCTCATTACATAAATAAGCACTATTGGGTAAGACATATTGTCTAATAAATATACATAATAGAATTCTAAAAAAAAAAATCTTTAAGAGAAAAAAATGTAAAAAACTAATAGGTAAAGAAAAAAATTCTAAGTGTTCATACTAGAGGGTTGGGAGAGCCAGAAGTTGTCAGAGGAGCTCAAGGAGAACTCTAATAAAAGGAATGTCAAAGAGACCAATGAATAATTTCAAAGACAGGGATTACTCTAATTGTTAAATATTCCAAGGAGATTAAAGTCTTTAAATTTGGAGATTCAAATAGTTATTAGTAACCTTCTAGAATATAACTAGTGAAAGAACACTGGAAACAATAGATTAGTTAAAATCACTCATTAAAGATATGTGGCTATAAAGGGAATGAGAAAAACAGAGAGGATACCTAATAAGGGCAGAAGAATCAACTGGAAGTTTTTTAAAAAGTTGAAATCTATACATGTCTAACATGAAGCAGAAGAAACCAAAGTGATTGAAAATACCAGAGGGGGTAAAAATGGATACTTTAGGAAGCAGGAATCTAGAAGAATGGCAGGGAATGGCCACAAGGACAGCAGGGAGAAGGTGTTAACCCAAGAAATACAAAGCATTTTTCCTTTTTTTTTTTTTTTTTAATTCTGTGGTGCTGGGGATCGAACCCCGGGCCTTGTACATGCAAGCCAAGCACTCTACCAACTGTTATATCTCCAGCCCACGAAGGATTACATTTTTCTAAAAGCAGAAGAAAGAAAAGACAATAAAAGGACAATGTTGGATGAAAGAAAGGAAGATGTAGAAACTTTTGTCTGATACTCTCATTTTTCTCAGTGCAGTAAAGCGGGGAATGAAGTAACCTGTGATGAACAGGGAAGCTAGAATAAGATTGAAAGCTTGAAGAAAGAAGACGAATAGCTATTGTGAGCAATGTACAAAGCATCAGCAAATGATTAGCAGAACTACTGAGCACTATCTTTATCCAAGATCAAGCTAGAAACTTTAACCTTTAGAAGGCCAAGTTAATAGTTCCAGGAAGAAAAATTAAAAATTAACAGAAACTACAAAAGATCTAGGATTAGGTCCTGA